TTTTGCAGTTTTATTTATTTATTTATTTATTTATTTTTGCATCTTGAGATCCTATGACGTCATCAACTACTCAACTTTTAATATTTTAATGTCGACTTTAAAAATTATGTAGTCGTTCAACCAACCCCTAGATGGCAGTGAGGTTTTTGACTCCAATGTTCAATGATGTGTGAGACAATGCCTGAGGAATGGAGAAGTGTGCTGGTGCCCATTTTTTTAAGAACAAGGGTGATGCACAGAGTTGTTGCAACTACAGGGAATTAAGTTGATGAGTCACACAATGAAGATCTGGGAGAGAGTTGTGGAAGCAAGACTTAGACGAGAGGTGACAATTTGTGAGCAGCGGTATGGTTTCATGCCGAGAAAGATTACCACAGATGCCATCTTTGCTTTGAGGATGCTGATGGAGAAGTACAGAGAGGGTCAGAAAGAACTCCATTGTGTCTTTGTGGATTTAGAAAAAGCATAAAACAGAGTGCCGAGGGAGGAGGTGTGGTATTGCATAAGAAACCTGGAGTTGCAGAGAAGTATGTTAGACTGGTACAGGACATGTATGAGGACAGCAGGACGGTGGTGAGATGTGCTGTAGGAGTGACAGATAGCTTCAAGGTGGAGGTGGGAGTGCATCAAGGATCGGCTCTGAGCCCCTTCTTGTTTGCTCTGGTGATGGACCGACTAACAGATGAGGTCAGGCAGGAATCCCCGTGGACTGTGATGTTTGCAAATGACATTGTGATCTGTGGTAAGAACAGGGAACAGGTGGAAGAGAACTTGGAGAGGTGAATACTTGAAAGAAGAGGAATGAAAGTCAGTCGTAGTAAGACAGAGTACATGTGTGTGAATGAGAAGGAGGCTGATGGCACAGTGAAGCTACAAGGAGCAGAGGTCACAAAAGTGTAGGACTTCAAGACCTTGAGGTCTACTGTCCAGGAAAATGGGGAGTGTGGTAAAGAGTTGAAAAAGAGAGTCCAGGCAGGATTAGGGCTGGGTACCTTTCTAAAAAAATCGGTATATGTACCGGTACCGGTACCGGTGTCGGTACCTTCACTTCGGTTTCGGTTCCTGGACGGTAATTTTTTCGGTACCAATTTTGTAATTACTATTAATTCTAACAAGAATAAAATTACGTTACACATTACAGTACAAATTGTGAGTTTTATTTTTTAACTTTGGTATTTTTCCATTCCAAGCAGTTTTCTTACATAAAAACAAACTAATAATTTCCAGGTCAAAAGACCAGTTACAAACCAGTGACATGTCAGTGTCTAATGTTCACTGCTACACACTGAGGACCTTTTCACTGAACAGTTTTTCTTCAGAAAAATCAACATGTCTGCTTTCTTTGGACACAAACAAGCCCACTCCTGGCTGATGGTGGCTCCAGCAGTAGAAAATGTTCACTCTGAGGCTGTAGATGATGCTTGTTACACACACAGATACCTGGTTGTCAGTTTGATAGCACTGACATATTGTCCCTCACATTCCACCAGCAGGTCACTGGATTCACTGAGGTAGGGATGATGCAGACATCTGCACCTCTGTGTCTCTGCCTGAATCTTCTCTGTGGTTCTCTGGGGTTTAGGACTCTGATCATCTCCCTAATTGACATGAGAACAAAACATCAACAATAACATGGTTGTGTTCTTATTGATCAAAAAACTTTATCTAGGCTGAGAGATAAAAGCTTAACTGGTCAACAAAATCCTTTACAGTTTAATTTACCTCCAACATGCAGCTCCACTGTAGAAAAAGCAGCAAATTTTTAACATCAGTCAAAAGTCTGACTGTCTTGTGGCCTCCACCTCGCTTTTCTGTCTGTCCTCACATCAGGGTCAGAACCTCCTGTGAGGAGAACATTAACATAAACAGTGAACATTAGTGAACTGTTTAAGCAGCTGACTGGATGGATGAGCAGTTTTACAAGCTAAGATTTATGTTACTGTCAATTTTTAGTTAGCTTCTGAGTTTAGCTAGCTACGTAGATAAAATAAATTTACACAATAATATATTAAAGTTAGCGTTACATGGATCATAATTTATTTCACCGCAATGTCTAAGCTGCAGTTACGCTAACAAACGTAAACTCACCAGCTGAAGCACACAGAAAAGTCCTCGGAGTTCTTTTATGAAGAGTCCATTCGTGGAGATAATGAATCAGGACGTTCAGGTTCTACTCACAGGCTGACTTTAATGCTGAGAGGAGGAGGGGGAGGCTAATGAACTCTTCTCTCCTCGCAGAAAAACACGGAGCAACTTTCTGCAGCGCATGTTGTCGCTGCACACGTGAACCTGTCTGTGGGCGTCACCAGCACCATAGACATAATTATACATAGATTAGGTACGGCAGCTCTATACAGCTCTGGGTGTAATTTGGGTGTAGTCTGTTTGTTATATGTCTGGTGTTTTGCCTGCCTGCGTGCTGAAACCACGTGACACGTTACAGCCAATACCGAAACTTGACACCAAAAGAAGAGTGATGTTTCAATACATACACCGACCGGTGCAGTTCGGTCGGTGCCATAAAAACCTCGGTTCGGTACTCAGCCCTAGGCAGGATGGAGTGGATGGAGAAAAGTTCAGAAGTGATTTGCGACAAAATAGTAGCAGCAAAGGTCATAGGAAAAAGACCAGATTTTACTTTTTTGTTTTTTTCTACCTGGATTATTGAGCATGCATCAGGGTGTTGTAGGAAAAGTTTACAAGACAGTGGTGAGACCAGCCATGTTGTGTGGTCTGGAGACAGTGGAACTGACAAAAAGACAGGAGAAAGAACTGGAAGTGGCAGAAACGAAGATGTTGACGTTCTCTTTAGGAATGACAAGGATGAATAAGATTAGGAATGAGATCATCAGAGGTACAGCACAGGTTGAACAACTGAGAGATAAAGTTAGAGAGGCCAGACTGAGATGGCTTAGACATGTCCAGAGGAGGGACAGTAGGTATATATTGGTAGAAGGAAAAACGAGAAATGCAGCTATCAGGAAAAAGACACAGAGGAGATATATGGATGCCGTTAGAGAGGACAAGGTAGTTGGAGTGAGGACAGAAAATGCAAAGGACAGAAGTAAATGGAGGAAGATGAATCGCTGTGGAGACCCCTGAAGAGGGAAAAACTGAAAGAAGAAGAATATTCAGAGTAAAAAAAAAGTCAATGCCTAGTGTTGCTGTTTTTAGATGCATGTTTTCTCAAAAATTCTCAAGTTAAAATAAAAGTGCTATCACAAACTTTATTCAGCATTAGATACAGAACCCAACAGAACCAATATCTTTCCCTCCAAGATTGGTAAATACTCATCCAGTTTCCAAAACACAGCTGGAAAGCAATCCAACTTTGGCTGCCAGTTTGTTTCTTTAGATTGACAACAGAGTGTTGGTATACCGAAATGTTTATATGTACCAAAAATAAATAAATAAAATTATCAGGATTTTCCACAAAGGCTTAAATAATTACTATAATTGAGAAAGTCAGCACCATTTTTTCCTTTATTTATTTTTAAATGCATTTGCATTCTCTTACTTCCTCACAATTATTTTTATTTATATTTACAGTTTTAATAGGAAAGAGATGAGTTCTTGTTATATCACTTTCTCTAGCATAATTTCATAAAGTTTTAATAAAGAAAGAAATTTTAAAATAGATTTTGTTGATATAGTAATAAACTGCTTTGTGTGTCCCTTTTCTTTTCATCCCCTACAGAGAAAACTTCATCTTTGGTGATTTCTGATGAGTTGTGTTTAATAAGAAAGGTGTTTAAATTGTAAATGAGTTATATAAAGTTTTGGAGTGACATGCAATGCTTTTAGATGTGTTTTGTTATTATTGTTGTTTGAAACAATGACCAATTTAGAGACAGAGCTCTCTTGAAACTTTGTTCAGTAGCCTTATGCAGCTGACAACCTCAGCACTGAGGACAGAAACGCCAGAACAGAGGCTTAGGTTAACAGTAATGCTCTGTTCAACTTGTTCAGAAGCTACTCAAACCTACTGTGTGTGTCCTGATATAATTTGTGTGGGGGCAGTATAGATTTAACTTTTGCTTAGAATAAATATCATTATATATATTTAAAAAAATAACTAATAATTTAAGTTTAATGAGTGGCATAACATTCTGAAAGTTATTGTCATTGCCTCTGTTTAACCTGTTTGTGTACACCCAACAAACTCTGGGATCAGTCACGCAGCACAGTGAACAAACATCATGAGGAAGTTGGCATTTGAAACAGGAATAATCATAACTTACCAAATGCCTGAAACCAAGAAACAAAATATCAAAGAAGGAAAAAGGGGCTCTATGCAGTTCTGCATCACTTACTTTTCAATTACAGCAGCCGAAGCAGAACGAAATTGTTAGTGTCATTTATCGACTGTGGTGCCCTCTATTAGAGTAACAACTGAGAGAAATCCATCCTGTTGTATAAACCACCTGGCTGTCTTACAATAACAAAGAGTTCATTTCTGTCAGCTGTCCTTAAGTCTTTTGCGTGTGATACAAGAAACAGATGAGATGTATACGCCAGGAAACACATGAAAGCACACAAGGACCAATCACATCTAACCGGGCAGGTAATCATCCTGATGGTGGTTCCCTGCAACGGTTCTGTTGGAACACAAAGTTAAAGGTAGTGTGTGTGTTCAAAGTGATAAAGGTGGCTTTTGAGCCTCAAATGCCACCCCTAAACATTTTTGCTTTGAGGCAGAATATGAAGCTTTTTTTTTTTTTTGTTGTTCTTTTTTTAAAATCACCTTTTTTTTTTTTTTTTTCCTGAAACACTTAAAAATGTTTTAGAACATTAATTTTAAGCATACGTATTTTGAGACTGAGGTAAATGTCATGTCTACTACTTCGGCCTTGATGATTTACACTGGTGATGTGGACCAGACAGGAGTAGTCGAGCGCAGACATCATAATCACCACCCCCCCATGAGTATATATTTTTAATACTTTGTGAGGAAAAACTGTCAACCATATCCAAAGTACAGGACCAAAGACAAGTAAATA